TCCTGAGGGGCCCCGGTGACTCAGTATGAATTCACTCTTTCACACAGATGAGCAGTTAGCTGTGTGATAACCACGCTAACATGGAGTGACGTTTGGGGCCCAGCACAGGTTACACATTTATACAGATTTAATGTTGAAGTTTTTGCAGGCCATGAGGTGCCGGATTTATCTCATTGTTATAAATATTGAACATGTTGTTTCTTTCATTTTTTATTTGTTTAATAATTATATTCAATTTCAATGAATTATATTTAATTTCAGTTTAACATTAGAAATTATTTACATTTTCCAGCAAATTCTAAAATGAAAAATCAACAGAATAACAAAATATTTTCTAAATTTTGTAAATGTAGATGACTTTATGTTAAATGAATGATACAGTGACTTACCGATAAGCTTAACGTTTTTTACTAAATTAATCTCTTCTTTATAAATTAATCTCTTGAACAATTGATTCAGGGAATAATTTAAAGACTTATGTTGTTTCATTAGGAATCTGTGTTTACAAAGAATCATTTGAACAAATGATTCAGAGACTTACTTAAACACTTCAGTTGTTTCATTGCTGGATGAATCTGCATTCTTTAGTGAATCTCTTCAACAATGGATTGAGAGACTCATTTAAAGACTTCTGTTATTTCATTACTGAATGAATCAGGTTTTATAATGAATCTCTTGAACAAATGATTCAGAGATTTACTCAAAGACTTCAGTTGTTTATTTACTGAATGAATTCATGTTTACAGTATAACAAATCTTTTTAACAATGGATTTAGAGACTCATTTAAAGACTTCAGTTGTTTCTGTACAGGATGAATTCGTGTTTATAACGAGTCTTTTAAATAAATGATCTAGATACTCATTTAAAGACTTCTGGTGTCATTACTGAATGAATCAGGTTTTATAATGAATCACTTGAACAAGTAAGTCAGAGACTCAAACAAAGACAACTGTTGTTTTATTACTAAATGAAACCGTATTTATATTGAATCTTTTAAACAAATGATTCAGAGTCTCACTAAGACTTCAGTTGTTTCATTACTGGGTTAATTCATAATTATAATCGATCTCTTGAACAAATGATTCAGAGACTCACTCAGACTTCAGTTGTTTCATTACTGGATGAATCAGGTTTTAAAATGAATCTCTTATACAAACGATTCAGAGACTCAATTAGACTTCAGTTGTCTCATTACTGGATGATTCTGTGTTTATAATGAATCTCTTGAACAAATGATTCAGAGCCTTACTCAGACTTCAGTTATTTCCTTACTGGATTATTCTGTGTGTATAATGAATCTTTTGAACAAGTGATTCAGAGACTCACTCAGACTTCAGTTGTTTCATTACTGGATGATTCTGTGTTTATAATGAATCTCCTGAACAAATGATTCAGAGACTTACTCACACTTCAGTTGTTTCATTACTTTAGTTAATTCAGTGATTCAATTCAATTCAGCTTTATTTGTATAGCGCTTTTACAATGTAGATTGTGTTAAAGCAGCTTCACATAAATGGTCATAGTAACTGGATTAGGGTGGTTCAGTTTTTAGTGTTTAAGTTCAATTCAGTTTAGCTCAGTTCAGTGTGGTTTGAAATCACTACTGAGAGTCCAAACACTGAAGAGCAAATTCATCCATGCGTAGCTCTACAGATCCTGGACCATGCAAGCCAGTGGCGACAGCGAATAGGGAAAAAAAAACTTCACCAATAGGAGAGTGAAGAAAAAAAAAACCTTCGATCAGAAAAAAGACTCAATCAGAGTTCAGTTGTCTCATTACTGGATGATTCTGTGTTTTTAATGAATCTCTTGAACAAATGATTCAGAGACTCACTCACACTTCAGTTGTCTCATTACTGGATGATTCTGTGTTTATAATGAATCTCTTGAACAAATGATTCAGAAACTCACACTTCAGTTGTCTCATTACTGGATGATTCTGTGTTTATAATGAATCTCTTGAACAAATGATTCAGAAACTCACTCACACTTCAGTTGTCTCATTACTGGATGATTCAGTGTTTATAATGAATTTCTTGAACAAACGATTGAGAGTCTCAATAAGACGTCAGTTGTTTCATCACTGGATAAATTCATATTTATAATGAGTCTCTTGAACAAATGATTCAGAGCCTCACTAAGACTTTAGTTGTTTCATTACTAGATGGTTCTATGTTCATAATGAATCTTTTAAACAAATGATTCAGAGACTCACTGAGACTTTAGTTGTTTCATTACTGGATGATTCTGTGTTTATAATGAATCTCTTGAACAAATGACTCAGAGACTCACTCACACTTCAGTTGTTTCATTACTGGTTGATTCTCTGTTTATAATGAATCTCTTGAGTTTCTGGATTACTGTATTATTTATATATACTCTTTCACTGCATTTGGAAGACGGTTTCAAATTTTTGGAGCACAGTTAGTGAATAAAAGAGATGCCGCCCAAGCACTTTTTCTCAGAAATGTATTAATGATTTAATGATTAATCACGCAAGTCTACATATTGAGGCCTTAATGAATGTCCCTGTCCTTCTGAAGTGTGTGAAACATAAATCAGCTCACAAGGGATGTATATAGAAATGTTAACGGTTCTTGAAATGCTAGACCCTTTCAGCGCCAGACTGGCTCCTGCGCCGCCGTCTTGCATATAGGGTTACTTCAGCGTTTTATTTTGAGGTTTCAGTTGCGGTAACAAACTTTTCCCCTCAGTTTATGTGTTGAGAACGTTCCAGGCTCTGTTACAGCGGTGCATCCGGTGTAACTGCAACTCACTCAGGATGAAAGTGTTGATTGGACTGAGTGTTTACCTCTATGTTCCTGTCTTTCCCTTTCTCTCCACACCTCACGCCGGTCATGTCACCGCTGTAACCTACTGACATAAATCTCCAACGCAAAACTGAAACACCCCCATCTGAGAGCTGAGCCAGTGTAACGCCTGACACCCACAGACACTGGAATGTGTGTGTGAACACTAAAGAAAGACAGGGCTTATGAATTGACTTCAAGTGTAACTGGATAGTTGACATAAGTTTGTATAAGTAATGTCCAGCAGGGGTGACCTGCTGTAATTCAAAAATAATATTATATTGAATAATATTTTTCCAGCCTCAGCAACCATAAGTGGCCTCTAATCCTAAATAATAAACATTTGCATGTAACATTTCTCACATTAATAGAGCAAAACTATAATCTGGGGTCAGTATTTTGCCCATAGAAGTATATTTTTATGTTCATTTTTTTATTTATTAAATAATCACCACTGCAAACATATTATTACATTATTTATATACATTATTTACCATGAACACAGGTAGTGATAATGATCAAATACGTGTTTTATTGCAGAAACATCTGAATATCAGTATGTTTTTTTAAAGAAATATAAACTTTTATTTAACATGCATCAAATGTGAATGCTGTCCTTTTAAACTTTATTTATCAGAGAGTCCTGACACAAAAATGCATCTTGGTTTTCACAAAAACATTGAGCAGCACAGCTGGTTTCAATGTATTTAATAATAAAACGTTAATAAAAAACTGAGCACCAGTTTTTTCTTGAGCACCACATCAGCATATTAGAATAATTTCTGAAGGATTATGAGACTGATGTTTGATTAATTAGTCACAAGATAAAGTTACATAACAGTTAATACAATTTTATATGTCAATGGGCCCTATCATACACCCGGCGCAATAATGTGCAAGACGTGTATGGTGCGATTTGTTGCTATTTTCAGACCAGCGCAACTGTAATTTTCATGTTTTGCGCAACGTTGTTTAAATAGCAAACCCATTTGCACATGGGTGTTCTGGTCTAAAAAGGAGGTGTGTTAAGGCGCATTGTTGGCATGTTGCTATTTGAGGATCTGAAATAGACCGCCCCATTGACCAACTAAAAGCTGGTATAACCGTAGTAATATAAGTAGTTCTATTAAAAGCTTTTGAGAGCTATAGTGGCAGTGTGCCGGTTTGCTTTTGATCTTTTGCTACAATGTTTATCTTTGTTCAAGCACCTGCCTTCGAAATGTTTAAAATGTGCGCACATTTGTGTTTTTTATTTGCTCTGGGTTAACCATGGCATGCTTTTGAGGTTTTCACCACAGTGTCGGCAGACGTCTTCCTGCCAATTATTGAACATTTTTGGTGAAATTTGGATGAGAAACACAGGAGAAAACATTTTTGCAGCATAAAAGTATTTTTATTACAGTCAATATTTTTTGTTAAAATAATGTTTTAATAGCAAAAAAATTATGAAATAATGCACATAAATGCATTGTATAACAATGGAAAAATTGATAATAATGCAAATAGATCCAAATGTGTTTATCCAATAAACAAACAAACAAACAAATAAATAAATAAATAAACACACTGTGCTATGTAGAATAAAAAAGAAATGAGCAAAGTACTGCGCAAATAAAGCTACTTTTTGAAGTAAACTGTATTTAAATTGTGTGAAATCTGCCTTTATAAGCATGTTACAACTAACCCTCTGTCTGTTACAGGGGTAAATAGTAACAATTTTACTCCTGGCATTTTTGGCAATACCTCACAGAAACCACAGGTCCAGCAATCATAATTCCAGTGCTCATGTAGGAGAGGCTTGTGTGTTATTGGTAAAAAAAATATGGTTTGCCATTATTTTGTTCATTATTTGACCAAAATGAAAAATGTGTTACTTTGAGCCCCGCTCTCCCCTAGGTCCCATTTTTTTATTACAGTCATATTAAATAAAAATAAAAAAGCGGTCAAAGCAAAATCTCATATAGTCCCATTATTGATCTGCTTAATTTTTTTATCCATATATTTGATTTATATTGTATTATTATTATAAGTTTTTTGGTAATATTAATTTAAAAGAGCATCTGCATTGAAAGAAAAGATCCAGTGTCAGTACTGTATGTTCCCATCAAGTTGAAGCACACACACACACACACACACACACACGCACACACACACACACACACACGCACACACACACACACAGAGAGAGAGAGAGAGAGAGTCGTGCGCCTCTGCATTGCATTGGTGCTGGAAACTTCACACAGCTGTTCTCGCTGTCACGTCGCGCTGATTAGAGACGCGGGAAAACCTCAGAGAGCATGAGGCTCACCCCGGTGGATTCTGCGTCTGAATCTCTCTCGTCCCGGAGCGAAATATAAACACGCTTCTCCGTTCGTTCTCCTGCTGCAAGGTGACGCAGCGCCGCAGACCCGGCGGAGTGACGAAAACTGCGGCACCGGAGCGCGTCCCAGCAGCAGCCACCCGGCCGAGGAGAGCGGCGGACCACGGAGAGCGGGCGGTCCGAGGCGCGGCGCTGATATGTGTCACCGTTCACAATGACGACCAGGCGCAAGTCCAGCAAACTGCAGCTCCGGCGGTCCATCAGCGAGCAGCTGCGCGACTCCACGTCGAAAGCTTGGGATTTACTATGGAGAAACATACGGGAGAAGCGGCTGGCAGGTCAGTGACAGGACGCCAATCAACTTTTTCAAATAAACAACAGCGCATCATCATGCATTAATGATGGACCTTCTGTCACATGAGTCTGGAGAAGGTCAAGTTATTAGGTCATGGTCATTTTGTGGCTTTTTGACTGGGGAGAATGATCTAAGCGTGCATGTGATGAATGCGTTTGGTGCCTATAAATAATCAAAATCAACATTGACATTGCGCTCCGGCGGTCTGTTGTGCGCGAGTGAAGCCGCAGTTTTGCTGTAATGTCATTAGCTGATGTCTGCTGCCTTTCAACTCGATAAAATGCACTGCATTCCTGTAAAAAATGAAATGGACACTACTAGCATGTCACTAATTTTAAATAACCAACTCAAAAGTGGTACATTGGAAGGTTTTTCTGTGTATGGAGTTTCAGTGTTTTGGTTTCTTCCAAGGTGGTGTTCTTTGCTGTTGTTGAGCTTGTTAGTAATGTTATTGAGTTGTTATTGTCAGATCAATATGTTTGTAGCTCCTTTAAAATATCTCTCGTTTTGTAGACATGATATTGTCCTTCACTGGAGAGTGGTTTATCTGTTCAAGAAAGTGTAGGATGTTTAAGTCGAGAAGCTTTTTCAGCTTAGTTCATTTACTCACTATTTACACACTTTGAAATGTTTCCTAACCTCTGTTGAACACAAAAAGGAGATTTTAAAAAAGTATATATATATATATATATATATATATATATATATATATATATATATATATATTTATAAAACCATTGATTTTCATATTTGGTGTCCACATGGGGTTTTAAAAATTTAAGAAACTAAATTTTAAGCCATTAAAACTCCTAAATCACGGAAATATTGTCTTGGAGGCAGTGTTTGGGGGGCTCTAATTATCGCTTGGTCCCCCCTGAAGAACATCGAAATGAGGTAGGTGGGTGGGTGGTGGGGCTATGAGGGGGTTGGGTCTGCCCTTTAATAGTTGAGAAATAGTTTTCTCTGATCTGTATCTTAAATAATATTACTAATTAAAGTAAGAGATAAATATAATTAAATTACTAGCTAAAGTAATAGTAAATATGCATATGACCACTCCTATAATGGTTCATACCATTGTGAATGCATGTTTGCGCCACAAATATTAATTTAGCTGGCAAAGACAGTGTTCACAGAAAATGTTTCTTGTAAAATAGGGGTTTGTACTATAGTTGTCTATAAAACTAGATGCATCACTTATATTTTATTATACACTTGCTCGCACATGAAAGATTGCAGGAATGCAAACCTGTCATTGTTTATTTAATATCAAAAATGTCATTGAGGACCACTCAATATCCCTTAAAGTTTAATAAATAAATTTGATGTAATTGAATGAAATATATAACTTTGGTTGACTAAGGCATATTACCAAACATAACTGAAAGTCTTGACTACCAAACCCCCGATTGTCAATGTATAATTTGCACCCTGCTTGTAGGTTTTAAATCACCTTAAACAGGTCTTAATTTTTCAATCAGGTCAACACTCATTCAATCACCAACAATACATCTCAATAAAACCTTTAACAAAAGTGAAATATATTAACTCAATTGTTTTAAGTCCATGTCTGCAACCAGAGTTTGCTTGTTTTGACATCTTATTTAAAATGTGCCAAGAAATAACAAAAATAGATTTCTTAGGGACTGTTAAAAATCTTTTCAACTGGCCAAGCATTTCCCCCCAAATTTTTTAGATTTTAACTCTGTATAAGTCTGAAATTTCATTCCTAATGGTTTTGAAAAGTCTTAAATTTGACATGGTGAAACCTGCAGAAACGCTGAGTAATAAAAACAAACACTAAGTCAGTGGTGACAGGTTTTCAGAATTTTCAGTGTTGGGTGAACTATGCCTTTTAAGATTTTGAACAGAGCCTACTAAGTTGTTTACAATTTACCCAAAAATAAAAAATGGTTAACTTTTCCTCTTTAGTATAGAACATTCCAGAAGGTTTTTAGTGGAAATGGTTCTTGCTGATCCATTAAAATGAATCTTTGTGGCTCCTGAAGGTAGATATAGGTCTTCTGAAGTGAAATAATTTGCAAACATTACAGCATTAATAACTACTGCCTTAACAAGAACATTTCATGACTAACATTCATGTCTAGAGTACATTCATGTAATGCATATTAAGGATGCTTTTTAATTGCATTTTAACTTGGTTTTGTGTATAATTTAGTATTTTAGAGATGTCAAATGTTTGGAAGCTTCCGTTGGTTTTCCACCATGGGGAATAAAGTAATTCTAGTAAAATAGAGCCCATATTACATGAATGGCAGGCCTCTGCTTATTCCTCTGTGGCTTTAAGTGAGGAAATGACAGGAAAAGTTCATTTAAAAGCAATCTGGACTCACTGTGGTATAGACACTCCTCTTTCTCCTTCAACCCACTAACCTCATTTTTCTCTAAAACCCAAGGATTCGATTCTGCCTTAGCATTCAAGACCTTCTGGTTAAACATTGCATACAACAATGTATACATTAAAATCACGGTGTTTGGTAGCTTTGTTGTGGGTTTTGAGCCTGTAGACTCTTGTTACTGATAAAACATGAGGGATTACTGTAAGCAGTGTCCCCCCCGATATAGACCATGAACAACTCACCTCCGGGTGACCCGTGCCGAATTTAGCTCATAAGTGAATGCCCGTAATGAAATGGGCTGCATGGTTTTCATGGCTCAAGTTCATGTTTAGGTAGTTTTGGCAGGACCCTTATGTGGGTGTCTTGACTGGACTGAGTTCTGCAGAATTATGTAGCCCAAAAGGAAGTCCTTAGTTGAACTGAATAAATTATGAATGGCTTTTCAGAAACTTTTTGCACTTCATGACCACCAGGTGGCAACCATTGTCAGGTTCTCACTCAGAGATGCTTTGACAGCATCTCTTTAGGCTTGTCAGTGCACGTTTCAAGGATTCAACATGGAGAAAATCTGCTTTAATGTTTACAATATGTAGCTGATTCCAGTTTTGTATGTCTTAACTGTTGACCTGAATTATAAAAAATCTGCTGTTTTAGGAGGTTTTCCTTTTTTCTCTTAGAGTTTGTGTTTTTGATAACTCATACAGTACAGGTGAAGCACTGGGCCAGGTCTGGAACTGCTGACTTCTCCAAACTTCATGTAATACCTTGTCTTCTCAGTGTGGAGTTTATGAAAACAAGGTCTTTTCTTTTTCAACCTTAAAGCAAGCCAATAACACTTTAATATCATTATTCATATATGCTTAAATTAGTCAGACTAATGAAGAAAATGGAACATATTGAATCAAACACTTAAAATGATCAGTGCTTCGAGTCCCGTCTGGGTCAGTTGGCTTTTCTGTGAGGAGTTTGCATGTATGGGTGTTTATGGGTTTTTTCCCAGTACTGGGTTACACCTGGAAGGGTATCTGCTGCGTAAAACATGCTTGATTAGTTGGCGGCCCATTCCACTGTGGTGACCCCTGATAAATAAGCCGAAGGAAAAGGAATGAATGAGATTTGGGAACATTTGACATTTTTGGTTTCAGAACCACCAAATTCTACTAGTTCAATCAACTCTGAGGGCCTATTATGCACCCGGTGCAAAGATTTCTCAACATAATAGTTTTAATAGCTCATTTCTAATAACTGATTTATTTTATCTTTGCCATGATGACAGTAAATAATATTTGACTAGATATTTTCAGGACATTTCTATACAGCTTGAAGTGACATTTAAAGGCTTAACTAGGTTAATTAGGTTAACTAGACAGGTTATGGTATAGGAAAGTTGTTGTATAATGATAATTTGTTCTATAGTCTATCGAAAAAATTTATAGTTTAAAGGGGCTAATAATTTTGTCCTTAAAATGGTGTTTAAAACTGCTTTTTTCTAGCCGAAATAAAACAAATAAGACTTTCTCCAGAAGAAAAAATATTATCAGACTTTCTGTGAAAATTTCTTTGCTCTGTTAAACATAATTTGGGAAATATGTAAAAATATATAAATAAACGGGGCTAATAATTCTAACTTCAATCGTATATACAGTTAAAGTAAGAATTTTTAGCCCCCCTTTGAGTTTTTAGTTTTAATTTTAATATTTTAAATTGATGTTAACAAAGCAATGAAATGTTCACAGTATGTCTAATAATATTTTTTCCTTTGGAGAAAGTCTTATTTATTTCAGCTAGAATAAAATCCGTTATTAATTTTTTGAACACCATTTTAAGGACAAAATTATTAGCGCCGTGTGGGTCTCAAACTTTTTTCATCAAGTACCACCTCAGAAAAAAATAGCCTCTCCAAGAACCACCAAAATGAGCAATATTGAAATACAGTAGCGTAGTAGGCCCAGTAAAGCAGCTACAACCCTGCACAATTAAAAAAACGAGGCAGATTACCTCAGAAATATAGGCTATATGTCATATATGGCATATTATATACATCATTTTTGATAAATTTTGAAATATGTGTAGCATGTACATGATATATTTCATTCCTCCACGTACCACTAGAATGACGCCTGCTTACCACTAGTAGTACACGTACCACAGTTTGAGAACCACTGGTCTACAGAACAAACCATCAATATAAAATAACTTGCCTAATTATCCTAACCTGCCTAGCTACCCTATTTAACCTAGTTACTCCTTTAAATGTCATTTTAAGCTGTATAGATGTGTCTTGAAAAATATCTAGTAAAATATTTTGTACTGTCATCATGGTAAAGTAAAATAAATCAGTTATGATAGATGAGTTATTAAAACTATTATGTTTAGAAATGTGTTGAAAAAAATCTTCTCTTTGTTAAACAGAAATTGGGGGAAAAATAAATAGGGGCCTAACAATTCAGGGGGGCTAATAGTTCTGACTTCAACTGTGTATATATATATAAATATTGGAGGAACAATTGAAACATTTCTAATAACCGGTTGTAACAGCTGCGGATCCTGTAGATTTCATTTAAAAATATTTACCAGATGTCAGATATTCTGTATAAAGATGCACTCAAACCTCTGAGGATAT